CTTTGGAAGGAAGACCAGAATAGCAGGCAGTATTCCAAAAGTGGCCTAACCGATGTCATGTCACAGCTTCAACATGACCTCCTAACTCCTGTACTCAATGCACTGATCAATAAAGGCAAGCATGCCAAACAACTTCTTCACTATCCTATCTACCTGCAACTCCACTTTCAAGGAACTACGAACCTGCACCCCAAGGTCTGTTTGTTCGACAACACTCTTCAGGGCCCTATCATTAAGTGTATAAGTCCTGCCCTGATTTGCCTTACCAAAATACAACACCTCACAGTTATCTAAATTGAACTACCTCTGTCATCCTCGGCCTATTGGCCCATCTGATCAAGGTCCCGCTGTACTCTGAGGTAACCTTCTTCACTGTCCACTATACCTCCAATTTTGGTGTCATCTGCAAATTTATTAATCATACCTCCTATGTTCACATCCAAATCTTTATATAAATGACAAAAAGTAGTGGATCCAGCACCGATCCTAGTGGCACAATGTTGGACACAGGTGTCCAGTCTGAAACACAACCCTTTACCACCACCCTCTGCCTTCTACCTTTGAGCCAGTTCGGTATCCAAATGGCTAGTTCTCCCTGTATTCCATGTGATCTAACCTTGCTAACCAGTCTACCATGAAGAATCTTGTTGAACGCCTTTACTGAAGTCGGTATAGATCACATCCACTGCTCTGCTCTCATCAATCCCCTTTGTTACTTCTTCAAACAGCTCAATCAAGTTAGTGAGACATAATTTCCCATGCACAAAGCCAAATTAATCTTCCAACCCTTAGCCAAACAACTTATTTTGCTCAAGCTCACTCTTGTGAGCTCTCCGACTACTATCAATCAACATTAAGTTATTTAGTTACTATTTTCTAAGGATTATGATTCCTTTAGTAGATGATGCTATCCCTCAACATGGCAATGTAGTCTTAAAACTGTTGACTTCAGGGGTGGCAGTTTTAGTTCACCATCCCCTTCTCTGTCTCGCACTCTCTCCTCACATCCCACCACCACCGCTCCTACCCACCCAAATCAAACAACTGACGGACACCAACATACACAACATAGTAGAAGTAAAGATTCCACGTCCTACCAGATCATAAGGCTGCTCTCCCAATAGAGACAGAGATGAATGGTGGTGGTTTAATGTGAGGGTCACTAGGCCTTAGGTGATCAGAGATGTTGAGAAGGAGAGTCCTGTAGCAGGTACAGGAATTGGACCCATGCTGTGGCACCACACTGCATCGCAAGCCAGCTGTCCAACCAACTGAGCTAACCAAACCTGCGCTGCACATAAATAATGACGATTGACTGAAGAGAGATATCTACGGTCCTTTGTGGATTATAACTAATTGTCTACTGGCTGGAAGGAGGTTAAAGTTAAACAAAAGCAGAAAAAAAATCTTCAGTGTCCTCTCCGACTTAATGAAGGAGCTGTGTATCTAGAGCTGTATGTCCAGATGCAACACAATAAGTTAACTTGTCCACTTTAAACTGTAGGGATTATGAATAAATAACATTTAATCAAGGAAGACAAGGGACTATAATCGCAGCTAAGTGCTGCTATCTGCTTGGCTTGTGACTGAAGTTTTCCAGCCAAGATCCCTCCCGATTGGCATCTGGGAAAGAAATAATTAGGGTTAGGAATCTATAAAATTTCAGTTGAAGGCTTTTTAAACTATGGAATGCACTGGGCCTAAAAATACACAGCAAATTCAACAGATTCTTATCTAATTGAGAGTCCTAACAAAGCATGAAGAGTTATCCATTTTGACAGAAATATTTATTTTTGTTGTAACTGCCCATTTTTAATAAAAGCTGACGTTCTTGAAAACCAGCAACATGAAACTAAATAATGCACCATGACTGACTCAGTTACTACAGCCACCAACCTTCCCCAGCGTTTGCACCCTGAGCTTGTTTATCTTGAGAATGATCAGATTTCAATGAAATTGTCACAAACAAACAAGAAGTATTTCCGAAATATTTAAAAGTTGTTGGATTTATTTTAGGTTTAAACCATCTCAATGCATTTACATTTACATTGAAAGATACTTGCAGATGATACCAAGACAAAGAAAGAAAAGGCCCATTTTTGGCAGAGATAAAAATGACATAAAATCTCAACACATTCTCTTTTGATTTAAGAATCTGTCTTGTTCATTTTTATTTACAGAGTTAGGGCAGCACACAGGAAGTATTTTTGACTTTTTGTGACACTATAGTTGCCAGTAAGAGGTCATCTCACATTTACTGAAAATTCTTCATTCCAGTCCCTTTATTCACACGGAAAGGAAAACTACTTTTTCCATCCGGTGGTTGCAAAACCAGTGCAAGTTCATAAATGTTAGGTACTGTAGATGTAGGTTCCTGAAGTATTAATTTTTTTGTGTGCAAGTGATCTATTATTAGTGCCATCCAGTGTTCAAAGCAAGTAATGTGAGTTTTGTAAACTATGACTTGTGCCCATCAAAAATTGCATCAGATAGAATTGCAAATTCAATTTATTGCTGAATAACACCAGATCCACAGCAAGAGAAATGTGGATTCTCTCACCTGGTGGTTTTGACTAAGGAACAAGAAGATGGTCCCTTGCTGTAACACTTTATCTGAAAGGTGGGATTTCCAGCAGTGCGGCTTTCCCTCAGTACAGCACACATAGTTCATCCAAAGGTGAACTGCAGCTTGAAATCAAGTATGCTACCATTGAGACAAGTTGCATTATGGAAACAATACAGGAAAGATTCACCAGAATGATGTAAGGATGAGAACACGATTAAACAGAAAGGTGTGGAAATCTGGGCTATTCTTCCACTAGAACACAAGAGATTACAGCAGTGATTTTTTAGAGCTTTTCAAAGTTATAATCAGAAAAATACTGAAAAATTATTTCTGCTAATGACACAAAAAATCAGTAATAAAAAGGAATGTTGAACGGAATTCGGTTTATTGTCACATGTACTCACATGAGTGCAGTGAAAAGTTTACAAGTCACCACTTACGAGCAAAGATGGCACCATCTTAGGAGCAAAGATACATAGGTACAGATTCTTCAGTACAAGTTCTTAGGAAAAATGTTAGAAACATAAAGAAATTGAAAAAAACTCCAGCATTGCAGATTGTAGGAATAAATTAGAAAATAAAGAAATAAAAAGTTCCAAACAATGGTCCTTCCAACCCAGCCCATGTGGGTACTTAGCCTCCAGTCTGCGCTGGGCTTCTCCTCGAGTTTCTCGAGGCTGGGAGACTGGACACTTTGAGACTGGACAAACAATTATAAATGCAGGAGCAAAAGATGAAAATTTGAATTTTTTTTTTCCTAATGTCTAAGGTCTGTTATATCTTGGACATTATTTTCAGAATTCTCCTGCTTATTTACCTCATTGTTTTGTTGACAGCATGAATTCATAGAGTCACATCATCATAGAATCCCTACAGTGTGGAAACAAGCCCTTCGGCCCAACAAGTCCACACCGACCCTCACAGCATCCCATCCCCATGGCCAATTTACCTAACCTGCACATCTTTGGACTGTGGGAGGAAACTGGAGCACTTGGAGGAAACCCACGCAGACACGGGGAGAATGTGCAAGCTCCACACAGACAGTCACCTGAGGCTGGAATTGAACCCAGGTCCCTGGTGCTGTGAGGCAGCAGTGCTAACCACTGAGCCACCGTGCCGAATTCTCCAGCCACATACCAAGTTAAGAAAGGAAAATTCCGTGTTGGTAAGCATAACTTTTCAAACCACACAAAGTTGCAGATGAAAACTGCACTTCCTCACTGCACCTGCTTACTGCAGCTTTTTTGCCTGAAATTTTAATGGCAAGATTGGAGAAGTTAATACTCATTTCAGCATAATCAAGACTTTCCATGTTGGGCAGAGCACCAGGGAACGAGTTTACCTCGGCATTTCCAAAATTTCCACACCGCCCACCGTACAGCTTACAGAGAAAACGCAAGAAAATAGCAGAGCAGGTTTGATGGGCCAAATGGCTCTGCTCCTATATCTTACAGTCTATATATGCACAACCCAGCAATGGTTGCTATTGTCAAAGCACATGATGGTCAGCAGTGCAGGCCTATTACATCAGAGGCTTCCCAGATAGTAAGAACTGCAGATGCTGGAGTCAGAGAATCTGACTTTAGGTTTTGGCAAACACCATTCAGGTTTACAGGCCCCTCGCATGAGCATCTGAATTCAAAATATGACGGTAAATAAGACTTGTACAGAGCCCGAGTTGGAAATGAATCATGTGCTACTCTGAGCATCCCATTTCACTAAGATTTGCAAAACCCACCACAAAAGCACACACGGACATCCTCGGAAATGGCAGCTAATGACCCTGCAGCCCAGCAGAATCATGGTGTGCATGCAGTTTAAAGAACTAACACCTCATCACTAACCCAACAGCACAGGTTCCTGCAACACAACTCTCCCAGACACAGCAGACAGCGTGCAACCAAATTTACCCAGGTCACAGATTGTATCTTCTCTATTGAATGGAAGATGAGGGATGACCCAAGGCAGCACTGATGGCCGTGTGTCCCAAACAGTCACTATCACATTAACCTGCGAGCTGAGATGTATTGCTGGAAGGACCTCATTTCGACACTCACCATCGCACGAGGTTATTTAATGGATAACCAAACTACACATCTAGTTCAAAAAAAAAACAAAGTTGCTGGAAAAGCTCAGCAGGTCTGGCAGCCTCTGTGAAGAAAAGAATCAGTTAACCTTTCGGATCCGGTGACCCTTCCTCGGAACTGTAAATCCACATCCGTTGTAAGGAAGGGTCACTGGACCCGAAACGTTAACTCTGATTCTTTTCTTCACAGATGCTGCCAGACCTGCTGAGCTTTTCCAGCAACTTCTGTTTTTGTTCCCGATTTACAGCATCCGCAGTTCTTTCGGTTTTTATGACACATCGCGTTATTAGCTGCTCCCATTATACAAAAAAAAGTAGCAATTGTAGCTGTCCTGGTAGGATACCTACTTCAACTATTGCTGACTGTGTGAAGGAGATGCTTCCACTGTGCTTTCAGGTATGGAGTTCCAGGATAATTTTAATCCAGGTTTTGACCTATCGATAATGAATGAATGCTGACATACACCCAGTCAGGATGTACGTGGAGGAGACAAAAACAAAACTTGCTGGAGGAACTCGGAGATTGGGCAGTGTCTGTGGAGAGAAAACTGAGTTATGTTTCAAGTCCAGTGATCCTTCCTCTGAACGTATAGTAGTTAGGAAAAGGTGGTATATATGCTAAAGACTTGGGGAGGGGGAAAGAGAGGAGTGAGTGCTAAGATGAAGGTGGAGCCCAGGGAAGAGAGAGATAACAACAGTTAAGCAGACAAAGTGATGGTTGATAGTATGCCAAGGAATGAGAAAAGCTGATTATGGGGACAATGGGGAGGTGAAAAATGGGTTGGCTGTGCTGAAAGCAGCTCAGTTCTTGACAGGATCAATGGTGTGGGGGTGGGTAAACGGCATGGAAGAAGGTGTTTGGGTTCTCCTCTGCACGTGGGAGACAAAATGCAGACGGAGCGACAGCTTTGTGGAACACCTACGTTCCGTCCACAGACCCTGAGCTTCCAGTTGCCTGCCATTCAACACACCACAGTGTACCCAGGCCAACATCTCTGTCTCAGGCCTGCTGCAGTGCTCCAGTGAGGCTTAGTGCACGCTGGAAGAACAGCATATCATTTTTTGCTTGGGGCTTCTTACAGTCTTCAGGATTCAATATCAAGTTCGGTAATTTTAGAACCTGAACACCTTTTACCTTCCAGCATTCACAGTTCTTAGTTTTATTTTCTTGGACAAGGAGGATAACTTTGTGCTGATTCTGATCCTGTCGACCTTTTACTGTTCCTTTAGTGACTGTTCAAGAAGCTGCAGTGAGTGGCTATGGACTGCTTTCTTCTGCACAACACACTGGGATTCCCTACTCAGCGTCACCAGCAAACCAGGTCCACAATGCTCTTATCTCCTTCAGTCAGCAATACAGATGGCAAAAGGTTGATACAGTTCCCTAGCGAAGAGAATGTGGAGGCAGCGAGGGAATTCAGTGCAGAGGGGAGGAGGTGCTTTTTGCGTGCTTGTTTTGGAACATAGTTTGTAAAATTTTTGTTTTAAACAGGATGAACTGAAGCCAGGGTCAGGGGCCCAGTACAAAAGTGTCACATCACAGGTAAACCATAAGTTCATTGGTTGGTGCTTGCTACTAATTTGACTATCTATATTACAGGTTACGGTCAGATTGAAGGTAAATAGGGGAAATATTTACAGATTACAAACTGAAAGACCAATGGGAAATTTTTAAAAATCAAATTAAGAACTAAGTAATTAAAAGAGATGTCGGGCCAGGTGACATGTTGTAACTATGTGATGTGGGAGCTGGTGAACCCCACTGTGGTTCAAAGTGACCACATCCGTCGTAAGCTGAGGAACCCAGCTCAGAGTTGATGAGCTGGAGTCCGAGTTTCAAACACTGCAACACATCAGGGAGTGGTGGGGGGGGGGGGCGGGGGGAAGAGTTACCTGGACGCTGTGTTTCAGGAGGCGGTCATACCCCTTAGATTAACTGTCTCAAATTCGGTCAGTGGTCAGGGACATGAAGGTGTGACTACAAGCGAGGCAGGTAGTGTGATCCAGGAGGTACTGTTGAAGGATCCTCAGCCCTTCAGCTTGTCTGACAGGTTTGAGATTCTTGCTCCCTGTGTGAATGAGAGTGGGGGTTGTAGGGAGGATGAGCAAACTGACCATGGTACAGACAGCCATTCAAGGAGGGAGAAAACAGAAATGTAATCGTCATCAGGGATAGCATAGTCAGGGGAATAGGCACTGTTCTCGGTGGCCAGGATTGAGAGTCCTGAAGGTTGTATTGCCTGCCTGGTGCCCAGGTTCAGCATATCTCAGAGATAGTAGGAACTGCAGATGCTGGAGAATCCGAGACAACAAGGTGCAGGGCTGGATGAACACAGCAGGCCAAGCAGCATCATAGGAGCAGAGAGGCTGACGTTTCGGGCCTAGACCCTTCATCAGAAAAGGGGGAGGGGGAAGGGGGTTTTGAAATAAATAGGGAGAGAGTGGGAGGCGGATAGAAGAGGGATAGAGGAGAGGAAACAAACAGGTCGAAGAGGCGGGGATGGGGCCAGGAAAGGTGAGTGTAGGTAGGGAGTTAGGAAGGGGATAGGTCAGTCCAGGGAGGACGGACAGGTCAAGGGGGCGGGATGAGGTGCTACACCTGCCCCCATACCTCCTCCCTCACCCCCATCCCAGGCCCCAAGAAGACTTTCCACATCAAGCAGATGTTCACCTGCACATCTGCCAATGTGGTATACTGCATCCGCTGTACCCGGTGTGGCTTCCTCTACATCGGGGAAACCAAGCGGAGACTCGGGGACCGCTTTGCAGAACACTTACGCTCGGTTCGCAACAAACAACTGCACCTCCCAGTCGCGAACCATTTCAACTCCCCCTCCCATTCCTCCGATGACATGTCCATCCTGGGCCTCCTGCAGTGCCACAACGATGCCACCCGAAGGTTGCAGGAACAGCAACTCATATTCCGCTTGGGAACCCTGCAGCCCAATGGTATCAATGTGGATTTCACAAGTTTCAAAATCTCCCCTCCCCCTACCGCATCCCAAAACCAGTCCAGCTCGTCCCTGCCTCCCTAACCTGTTCTTCCTCCCACCTATCCCCTCCTCCCACCTCAAGCCGCACCTCCATCTCCTACCGACCAACCTCATCCCGCCCCCTTGACCTGTCCGTCCTCCCTGGACTGACCTATCCCCTTCCTAACTCCCTACCTACACTCACCTTTCCTGGCCCCATCCCCGCCTCTTCGACCTGTTTGTTTCCTCTCCACCTATCCTCTCCTCTATCCCTCTTCTATCCGCCTCCCACTCTCTCCCTATTTATTTCAAAACTCCCTTCCCCTCCCCCTTTTCTGATGAAGGGTCTAGGCCCGAAACGTCAGCCTCTCTGCTCCTATGCTGCTGCTTGGCCTGCTGTGTTCATCCAGCCCTGCACCTTGTTGTCTCAGCATATCTCATCTGTGCTGCAGAGGAACTTGGAGTTTTAAAAGGGAAAGATCCAGTTGTCGTGATCCATGTAGGTACCAACGATATGGGTACAAACGATATGGTTACAAAGAAGGAAGAGGTTCTGCTAAGGTAATATGAGCAGCTAGGGGCTAATTTAGAAAGCAGAACCAAACAAGTAATAATCTCTGGATTACTACCTGAGCCACAAGCAAATTAGCACAGGGTCAACAAGATTAATGAGGTAAACGCATGGCTCAAAAGATTGGTGTGGGAGAAATGGATTTGAATACATGGGACACTGGCAGCAGTACAGGGGAAGGAGGGAGCTGTTCTGATTGGACGTGCTCCACCCGAATCATGACAGAGTATGGAAGGGGTCAGGACTCTAACTTGTAGAATCACAGAGCAAGGAAACAAACCCTTCGGTCCAACTCATCCATGCCAACCAGATATCCTAAACTGATCTAGTCCCATTTGCCAGTATGTGGCTTATATCCCACTAAACCCTTCCTATTCATATACCCACCCAATGCCTTTTAAATGTTGTAATTGTACCAGCCTCCACCACTTCCTCTGGCAGCTCATTCCATACATACACCACCCTCTGCGTGAATAAATTCACCCTTAAGTCCCTTTTAAATCTTTCCCCTATAACTGGAAACCTATGCCCTCTAGTTTTGGACTCCCCCACCCTAGGAAAAAGACCTTGGCTATTCACCCTATCCATCCCTCTCGTGATTTTATAAACCACTATAAGTCACCCCTCAGCCTCTGACACTCCAGGGGCAAAAAGCCCCAGCCCACTGAGCCTCTCTCTATAGCTCAAACCCTCCAATCCTGGCAACATTTTTGTAAATCTTTTATGAACCCTTTCAAGTTTAACAACATCTTACCTATAGCAGGGAGACCAAAGTATTCTAAAAGTGGTCTCACCAACGTCCTGTACAGCCGCAATACAACATCCCAACTCCTATACTCAATGCACTGACCAATGAAGGTAAGCATGCCAAATGCCTTCTTCACCGCCCTGTCTACCTGCGACTCCACTTGCAAGGAACTATGCACCTGCACCCCAAGGTCCTTTTATTTGGCAACACACCCCAGGGCCCTACCATTAACTGTACAAGTCCTGCCCTGATTTGCCTTTCCAAAATGCTACACCTCACATTTATCTAAATTAAACTCCATCTGCCACTCCTGAGCCCATTTGCCCATCTAGTCAAGGGCCTGTTATACGCAGATAACCTTGTTCACTGTCCACTACACCGCCAATTTGGGGTCATCTGCGAACATTACTAATTGTACCTTCTGGCACAGCTTGTACTAGTTCAAAAATGCCTGATCTTTGAGGTTAAGCAGACTCATGTCGGCTTAGTACAACGTTCTCATGGTGCGATGGTAGTGTCCTCATCTCTGGGCCAGAATGTCTGGGTTCAAGCCCCACCCATCCTGGAGGTGGGAACACGTCCAAACGTCCAAATAACTACAATCAGGGAAAGTCAACTTGGTTCTGTGAAAGATAAAACACACTTGAGAAGTTTATTTCAGTTTTTTTGAATGTATACCAAGCAGTTTGGACAAAGAGGAATCAGTAGATGTACTATATTTAATTACCAAAAGGCTTTTGATAAGGTGTCACAGAAAAGGTCACTGCACACAAATAAGAGTAAGCTCATAGTGTTGATGTTTATTTTATTAGCATGGATAGAGGATTTCTTAATTAACCGGAAGAAAGAGTCTAGATAAATGGGTCATTTTCAGATTTATTAACTGTACCATGCAGAGTCCCAAAGGGACCAGTGCTGAGCATCAACTGTTTATGATCTATCTTCATGATTTGGATGAAGAGGGCACACTTCTTTTAGCCAAATTTGGTGATGATGTGAAGACAGGTAAAAAAATACTGGTTGCGAGGAGGATACAAAGAAGGTTCTCCAGGCAAATTCCTGGGATAAAGGAGTTGTGTTATGATGAAAGGAGAAGCACTTTGGGGCTATACTCATTGGTGTTTAGAAAATAAAGAGGTCATCTGACTGACTTATATATAAAATTCTGAGGGATCTCAACAGGGTATAAGCGGAGAGGGCTTTTCCATATGTGGGGGAATTTAGAAACAGGACGAAGAATAAATGCCAAAATTAGGGGTCTTCTTTTTAAGAAGGAGCTGATGTAAAGACTGTATCTTTCTGGATTTTTGATTGTGGACTGAAACGTTGAAAGGACTGTTTTAAAACCAAGGATGGTTAAAGCGATTGCTGCATTTCTTAAAACTAAGTTAGCTGATACTCACTGCAAGTGCTGTTTACACAGCTATTGGTTTGAGCAGTGGGGAAAGTCCAGTTACAGACCAGCAAGAGCCAGGGTTTGTGTACAATGGGAGATTTGACCAGCAACTAATAGCTGATTGATCTGTGAAGCAGTGACAAGTTATACCTAACAAAAGGCCCCCCCACCCGTTAACAATTGTAATTGGCTCCCAGGTAGCTGAACAGCTCGGGGATGTGAATGTTTGAGGGAGAAGCCATCAGACTTCTGGAAAGGAAAGGAGCAGTTATTGCTCTGCAGTAGAAAGCATCTCAAACTGGAAACAGTGTCGTTTTTATTTCCCCTGCAAGCAGTAATGTTTAACTAATCAGCTAGACACCTTTATAAGCGTGAACCAGTCACTCTGCACCTCCTGCAAACAAAAAGTACCTGGAGAAGGAAAATTGAGAAGCTGTTTTCTGATCAGCAAAAAGATTATCTCAGCAACAGAAAAGAAATGCCACAGCGAAGGTTGTGTATCATATACATCCCAAGGGCTCAGCTGGAGTACTGAAGCTCTTCAAGAACAGCAAATTTGGGGAATTCTCTCCATCAATCCTCATTCATCTTTATACAAGTTGACTATCTTTTGTTGACATTGCTTTAGATGGGGCCACTTCCAGGCAGGTACGATTTATCTCGTTTTGCCTATGCTTTGATCATACAAAGCAGCTGAATTTCATGCCCACAAATCACATGTAAGCAATTCATTATGTTTGAACAGCTGTGACAGGCAAAGAGAAAAAAAACAAGAAGGTGTAAATCCCAAAACAGCATAAACAGATAAGGGAAAAATCAGACAAGCCTCCCAGGCCAACAGCACTTCGCTGATCAATTGAAAAGTGGGGAAACACATTTCAAAACTTCAGCAATGTGCACCTGCAGCCATTTCCAGAGTGCCATTATTTTTGGGAATTAGTCATTCACAAGATTTGGGCATTCAGTTTTTATTGACCATCTCAAGATCCCTGAAAGAAGGTTGCCTACTTGAACTGCTGCAGTGTATGTGGTGGAAGAGTTTCCAGAAATGTTAATAGGGTAAGGAGTTCCAGGGTCTCAGTGATGATGAAGGAGGAATGGCGGGATGTTTCCAAGTCAGGATGGTGTTTGACTCGAAGACGAATTTGCATATGGAGGTGCTGCCTTCGTCCTTGGTGATCGGTGTTGGGAGATGGGAAACCCTGTCAGAGGTGCCTTGGAAAATTGTTGCCATACACTACAGCAACATTTTGCTACTGGGCGAGCGAATAAACAGACGTATAGTTAAAGCAAAATATTTTGTGCTGGATGATGTCATGCTCCTAGAATTTTCTCAGAGTTGCACTTCTCCAGGCAAGGAGATTATTCCATCATCTGACTGATGTGCCCGGTAGGTGGTTGGCAGTCTCCGGGGGTGAGCAGGCAAGTTACCTTCAGCAGAATTCCCTGCTCGTGCAGCCCCATTATTTAAAAAAAAAATTGGGAAGGTTCAATGCAGTTACTGCAACTGTTATCGATTCAGTAATAGACTCCTCTGAATGCCATCGAGAGGTGACTGGATCCTTTCTTGTGTCAGACAATCATTGTCTGACACATGACGCTCAGAAGTAAGACCAGGTAATGACAAGGGTGGATGGTTAGACTTCCTCCGGTTGGAGATGCCTGCCAGTTGTGTGGAGTGGTTGTGTTACTTGCTACTTATCATCCCAAGCCTGAAGGTTGCCTAGGTTTTGCAGGACCTGGGGCATAGCTCGGTTTTGAATGGAACAATCAGAAGCAAGCATCACCACTTCTAACGCTCTGATTAACAGCAGGTCACTGATGAGGCAGTTAAGAGATTTGGCCCCAGAGCCTAAGCTTTGTCCTCCACTCCCAGCTCTGATGATTGACAATTATCCCCAAGAGTAGGAGTTGATTCCCTGCCTTGAAATGGAATAGAACCTCTACAATGTTTGGTTTGACACATTTTCCAGTGGTTTTCTCTCTCTCCTGTACCTTGCTGCACCCCCTTCCCTGTAAATATTGGGGCATGTGTGGGACTTTTCTGAAGAAGGTGCCGACCTGAAACGTTAACTTTCCTGCTCCTCTGATGCTGCCTGGCCTGCTGTGCTCCTCCAGCTCCACACTGTGTTACCCCCAATCCTATCCAATCTTTCCTCAAAGCTCACAGCCTTCAGCCCAGGCAGCATGCTGGAAAATCTCCTCTACACCCCTCTCTAATGCAATCACATCCTCCTATAACGTGGTGAGCAGAACTACATCCAGTACCCCAGCATTACTGGCCTAACCAGCATTCTATACAGTTATACCATAACCTCTCTGCTCTTGTATTCCATTCCCCTGGCTAATAAAGACCAGGATCCCATATGTCTTCCAAACCTACCCAGCTACCTTCAGGGATCTGTGGATATGCATATCGAGCTCCCTCTGATCTTCAGTACTTTCCAGGGTTCTGTCATGCATAGTGCAATCTTTTGACTTGTTAACCCTTCCCAAGTTCCTCAGCTCAAACTTTTCTGGATTGAATTCCATTTGCTGCTGATCAGCCCACTTGATCCTCCTGCAGTTTACAGCTACCCTCATCATTTACCACCCTACTCAGTTCTGTATTAAGAACTTCTGGATCACAGCCCCTAACTTGGTCAAATGATTTTATACAAACTGGTCATTCAGGTAGAGAGAGATACAGTATGTATACGTTATTACACAGGATACGCAAAAACTATATGGCCTATCAGATCGGTTTAATACTTCACAATGTAACACAACTGACATCACTGAGTTGAAACCAAGGCAGGAATCATGGCTGACAGTTTATCATTCAACACCCAGAAGTAGCAAACAGAAAATCAAACAGGATCTATTTACCCTGCCAACAGGGTTTGATCAAAAGACATGTCTCTACCAAATACAATAAAATAAAAAGCTCATGACCGAAACTGCAACAACCTCGGTAAAAGCAGGACGATTTCTGCAGCAAACTGCACTGAATGGAGGCTAGTTAAATAATATAATGTGATGTACATACAATAAACTCTAGTCACGGCAATGTGGCTTCCAGCTGGGTTTTATAGGGGACCTCCCAATCCTCCAGCAAGGAATTCTGGTGTTGTTATTTCTTTTGATTATTTCATGAGATGTAGACGTTGCTAGCAAGACCAGCATTGGTTGCCCATCTATCATTACCTTTGAACTGAGTGGCATGTAAGAGGCATTGCAGTGAGTCTGGGATCATATATAAACCAGACCATGTTAGGACGGTCGATGTTCCTCCCTAAAAGATATTGCTGAATCAGGTGGGTTCTTACAAGAATCAATTATAGCTTCATGACCACTATTACTGACACCATTATGGAAACTAGTTTTATATTCCAGATTTACTTGTTTAAATTTCAGCAGCTGCAGTAGTGAGATTTGAAACCGTGGCCCCAAAACACTCTCAACTACTAGTCCAGAGACGTTACCATCTTCCATCCCTAATCAGGGTTTATGAAAATATCCTTTATTCTTAGCAGAGGCCAGTCTTGATTCAGTATCTTATCACCAAATCAGAAGATCATGTGTTCAGATCTCTATTCTAACACTTGCAAATATAATCCACTCTTGCACTTCAGTAGAGGCTGAAGCAGTACTGGTCTTTTGTAAGAGTTGTCAATTAGTTAAGGCCTCGGTTGTCTTCCTAAATGAGCATAAAAGATCCTGTGACACTACTTGAAGAGGACTATTGGAGTTTTTAAAATGGCATTCTGGTCAATATTTATCCTTCAACCTGATGGTTGCTGTGAGCAAATCTGATGCTGCATCCGCAAAATGGGCTCAAAGAAGTACTTAATGATCCTTATGTCACTCTAGGACAGCATGGAAAAGGTCTTTTACCGACACAAGTGGTTTCCTTTTCCCTGATGAACTACAGACTGACACCCAAACACTGTGAGGTTGTAGACTTGCTCGCCAAGCCAGTGTGCTTGCTTGCAGACGTTTCATCATCCTGCTAGGTAACATGGTCAGTGTACCTCCAGTGAAGCGTCGGTGTTCTGTCCCACTTGTTATTTATATGCCTTGGTTTGTTGGGGTGTTTGGTACCACTTCTAGTTCCATTTCTCAGTGGCTTGTACACAGGGTCTAATTCAATGTGTTTGTTGATGGAGTTCCGGTTGGAATACCGAGCCTCCAGGAATTTCCTGACGTGTCTCTGTTTGGCTTGTGTGATTATGGATGTGTTGTCCCAGTCGAATTTGTGTCCCTCGTTGTCTGTGCG